ATTAACTATAAAATTATTTAATTCTTGCTTTGAATTGGAGTTTTAAGTTATCAATTGGATGTCGTAGTTTAGCTTCACTTGGAAGTTAAAAAATATTTCTTCTTTTTATTTTGTGTCTCAAATTTCGAATTAAAGTGGAAATTAGGGAGAGTTTTATTTGAAAAGAATTTAAGTTTGTTGAATTTTCTATCTAATCAAAAATTTAAATACTTTAAACATGACTACTTTATTATAGTACTTTTAAAGTTAAAATTTTAAATTATTATAAATAAATGAAATCTCATTAGTTTGATAGCTCAGTATTTATTTCGTAAAAAACAAAATACAAGTTTTTTTGTCTTCAGTAAGAGTGTGACAGTGATAGGAACTGGATTTGCTAATCACCGATTTCCAATTGCAAACGTTAATCAAGCGGATTCTATTCATTTTTTATCAATTTGATGAAATGTTAAGTAATTTTTTTTTCGTTTTTAACTAATATTTTTATGGTATAGAAGATTGTCAAAAATGTCCATTGACTTAGACTACTTATTTACATATTTTTTCTTATGTACATCGAAAATAACATAAAGCTATTGCATGTTTTATGGAAATTTTTGTTTTCTATTAGCCACTCAAAAAAGAAAAAGCATTAAATTAACTAAATGTTAATAATCTTGGAAATATTAAGTGTGATTAAGAGATTGAGTTTTGTTTTAATTGTTCTTTGGTCTTTCATCAACTCAGATCATTTCATGAGAATTGATGAAACTTTGAAATTTTTCCCAAAAAAAAAATATATATTAAATCTTAGAAAGAACAAGCTAAAAATAGGACTTCGAAAAAATTCTACGGACTTTTCTCGTAGCAATAATTACACTAATTTTTAATGATATTCCCCTGTGTAATCTTCTTTTTCTCTGTCTTCTCTTGTAGTCAAGGCTGTAACATATGTGATATAGATACAATGTTAAATGACAAAAGTAGTGTAGTTAGCATCCATCCTGCAAGTATCATTAACACTACTCTTTCAAATTCTCATTACAGTTTACGACAAAAATAAATAATTATACTAAAGAAAAAATCCAACGTTATTCTATAGGTTGCTAAATAAAAAGTCTGAACATTTTGTTGTGTTCATTCTTGATATCAGCAAATATAAAATAAGGTATAGTTCATTTGGCAATCCAAAATTTTCTGTGGACTTTCATTCTATATAATTTTTTTATGTTTATTTGAAAGGGCATGACGGAGTCTTTTCTTACCTTTTTTTGTGGAGAGAGCACAGATGAAAAGTTCAATGCCTTGAAAAAAAATCTCAATAAGTACGTTGTAATTATTATAAAAGTGCTCTTTGATGTAATAATAACAAAGTTCAATTCAAAAAAAAGAAGTAACTCTGCCATGTCTTGCATCTTGACATGCTTTTTCCAACAAAAAGAAAAAGCAATTGACTACAACGAAGCTCCTTCGAGAATTCTAGAATATGCGATTAAAAAGAAGTATAAACCAAAAAGATTTCCTGTTTTTTCTGAAAACAGCATATTCTTCAGCAAGTAGTCGATGACAGAAATTATCAAAAATTTTCGCCAAAAAAAAGAAAAAAAACGAAGGTGCCGACTAAAAAAATCATGTCATTTATGAAAGATAAGACCTTGGGCTATCCTCCTATGCATTTATCTTAATTTTGATAATTTTGACAAAGATTGACTTTTTTTTAAGGGTGTCTCAAGGCTGGTTTTCCTACATTGCTAGCGAATTCATGCAGAACCAAGTCAAATTTGCTCTACTTAAATGTACGCAAAAGAATTTTATAATATATACACCATTTAATAAAGAATGTCTTCCTCTCTAAACATACATATATCAGATTCTGTCACAGTCAATAATTACTATGAAATTTATAGTTGATCTTTTTGTGGATCTTAATACCTTGTCATAAAATTTCTATATGAGAATAAGATAAATCATTTTCAAAATTAGTTTCATTCATTTACTTGATCCATATTTTTATAATCAATAAGAAAAGTTTCAAATAGATTAATATATTAGATAATACGAATTTCTTTTACCTAAGCATCAATTTTATCGAGTCTAATTCTTCTTGAAGACGTTCCATTACCTATATTATATGTATCCATCAGTAAGTCAGCTTTTTTTCTGACACAAGTCAAGTTATTGATTTGAACTTTTTTCAAGTTTCATAATTTACTTATGTTTCAATTTACTGAAAAAAGAAAGTTTTATATCAGTTCTTAATTATATTTTAGCATGATTAACGTTTGTCATGTGACATCTTGACCTTATGTTCTCGAAAAACAAAACTACATTGAAAAAATATTCTTTTTACAAGTAATGATGTTGTAAGCACTATCAAAAAGCTTCGTTAACAACTTGTTCAATGTTTTGTATCTAATCGATTGATTAATGAGAATAAATCTATTCGAATAACTTTATGTAATATGAATTTTAGTTGCAAAAATTTATGTGATTTGACTTGTCCATCTTTGATTTATAATTTATTATGAAATGAAAAAGTTCATCAAGTACCAAATACACGGAAATGGTATATGTGTTTTATTGAAATATGAATGTGTCATTTATATTCTTAAAGATTAATCTGATTAGATTTTCTATCTCTTTAGTTTCCGATTAAGAATGAAAGGGATTAATAACTGTTGACAGACATTCATAAAAGGCACCTATTTAAGTGCTAAGTAAAAATATATTCAATTAAATTAATATTTCTCTATAATTAAAATTTTTGTTAAGTTTGATAATTAATATACAAGTAAAATATTTAACTATTAAGTTAATAAATTGGATTTATAATTAAGAAAATAAATTAGATAAGTAACAAAAAAAAAGTTATTACTAAGTAATACATTTATGAAACTATTTAATAATGACAAAATGGTCATGTATGCGTTGAAATATTAAGAAAAAATTAAAGCGTTTAAAAATTAGTGAAATAAAAAATAACTGAAATACTAAATGATGTCAACAAATTACAGTTATGTGAATCAGAAATTGTATTTCGGAATGTATCATCCTTATTTTTGAAGAAATGAAGCAAAATGAAAAAAAAGGAATTTACAGAATTTTTCGAAAACGAATGATTAATAATTCTTGATTCATGGTATCAAAGATATAACAGTACATTCACACCAAATACTAACAAACAACAAACAAAGTCATCAAAGATAAACATACTTTTAGAGAACGACATACACTATCAAGATTTCTTACAGTTGCAAATGATATTGTAAATAAATGGTCAATGTCTCACAATCAAGATCAAACAAATAATCCAGTTGTGTTTTCTACAGAACCAACATTTATACTTAAAAAATCAACTGATTTATATCCTTAAAATTAGTATTACAATTACTATCTAAAATAAAAGGTTTTACCGATTACTATAGACCAGCTGGTGAGGCAGAAAATATCACAAAAAATGAAATCCCAAGATATAAAAGAAAAAAAAAATGTGCGTCATTTGATCAATTTAAAGATCTTCAATTTGAAATATGAAAAATAACTTTGCCGGACATTGGATCAGAATAGAAAAATGAATTTTACAATTGTTCAAACTTTTTTAAACAATATATTTGCAAACATGTGATTGATATGGCAATTAGATTGAAATTTTACAAACCATCTCCAACAGCAAAGAATGTATCTTTGAGTGAAAAAAGAAAATGAGGACGACCATGAAAAGCACCAAAAGCTTTATTAATCGAGTAATTGTTCAATTAAATTTTTTACTTAACACAAATTATGTTTACCTGTCGATTTCTAATATTTTGTCTAGAAAATTAAACTTTTTCATTGAGAATTTAAATAAATTACTTAGTATTTAAATAGGTATCTTATAAAATACTTGATGACTTAACTTCAGATAATGGTAACTAGCTAAAAACTAGATGAAAGATTTTATTTGACCATTCCTTTACCAAAATTTTCTATAAACAATCCCCAGTAGGAAGCTGCAACTTCACGTTTTTGTGGACTAGGTCTTGGACTTGAAAAACAATTAAAAACTTGGATCTGGACTCGATCAAGTCAAAAGCCGGTTTTTTTCTACCAATATTTGGCACTCTCCATGTATGTGAACGAGTCAAAGATCAAGGTTTTCGCTACTCTCAGGAAAAAAATTCAATGTACAGTTATATTTAGTTGTTGTGTTTCTCATCTGAGAAGCTGCAGGTGCATAAAAATGTGTAATCAGACCCGACAAAAAAAATAAAACTTTGCATCTGGTCATGTGCAGAAGGGTCCGCAGGTTCCCTTTCTCACCTTCAGAAACTTTCAGTCAAATTTTATAAAAATTCGATTTTTTCACGAAGTAGACGTTGTCTGATCGAAAGTACCCAAATTAAAAAGTTTGATAAATAAATATTCAATCAAATCCTTTATTTAGTTTTGTTCGATTGTCATGATCCATAAGTACGTTTTTTACCAAATATTTGATAAATGTTTGCTAACAGCCACCTGAGAAACCTAATTGGATTTGTGATAAATAATATAAATGACGCATTCGTAGTCCAATATCAAAAGACTCAGTATTTCTTCAGAAATAGTACGTAGTGCTAACTATGACTTACTAATAAGTGATAAATGACAACGATTATCACTTAAAAATAAATAACCAATGATGGAAATAGAAACAATAGTAAATATGACAATTCTAATCACTATTCTTAAATGCATAGAAACTCGAGATTAAAAACCTTTTTATTTATGATTCAATGAAAAATAGTTCGAAAACTGATCCTTAGAATAAATACAACATTTTCAATAATTTATACAATAAATATTACAGAAAGATTCGAGAAACATCATTGTATCAAAATAAAAAACATAATATATCCAATATGATTCAAAGAATTATAATCTTTAAATTCTTTTAATAAAAAAATCAATATGTAGATGAGTATATTGCGTGATAAATGTTGAATGTTCCTCATTAAAATATTTCTTATTTAATTTAAAAAAGATTACATCAACTAAATCTAATCTCATAATGGTTGAACTAATTGTGTTGTTGATGATGTAAATGTTGGAACTGGTAGAATTTCTTCTGCATCTTCAAATATATCATTAGTCTCTTCTAACTGTCGTACAGTTTGTTCATAAGTTGGTGGTTTATCATAAAGATTATTATTTATTGCTGTATAATGAGGTGGATGTGAATAATTATCTAATGATTGTGGTTGTTGTTGTTCATCGAAATTATCAAACGCAATTATTGTTATCATATTATTTTGTTGTTGTTGTTGTTGTAGTCCTATAAAAAGCAAATTTTCCTTGAAAATAATTATTATTTAATATTTCATACCTCTTCTTAATCGTTCATTTTTATATCGAAAATAAATAGATATAATAATTACAATGGCTAAAATAGTAAATGGTACAATCATTGCTACAACACTAAAAAAAAAAAGATAAAAATATCTTGTTTTTTTGTTTTTTTATTTTTCAATACATAAAATATACTCACAAATAAACAGCAGTATTTACATTAGTACAAGGAATAGTTTCATTTTTTCCCATTTTATTACATTCAGCCATATTTTTTTTCCAAATTATAGATAAATATGTACAATAATATGTAAATTTAACCCTTTATGTTTACCTTTAGTTATTTTTCTTTTTAAATTAATGATATCCTTATTAATCATGGTCCAATCATAAACTATATTTGACATGATCAACAAGTCCCTTGTTTTTCTCATTCTCTTGTTTTGAAGTAATAAATCAATAGAAAAATACGTAAACAACCGTATATATTTCGTAATTTAATATTTTTCTGTCATTACGATTACTTGTCATTTATGTACCTTGTTGACACTAAGACTATGTTTTTCTTTTTACCTAGTTCAGAATAAATCATGATTCGTTAATAGGTTTGTTTATTTAAACAAATAATTAATGTGTATTCGTCATTTTTGTTTTTACGATTCAATAGATGATTTTCTTTTTGTCTTATATATATGCGAAAAATATTGTCGAATAAAAGCTATATTGTATTAATGAAATTTGAGGATTCTTTTCTTTAATTAAATATGAAATCTTTCTCATCATAGAATAATCTTTCATTTTTGATATTTCTAAATTTTCTTATAAGAAATTTGTAAGTATAAGTATCGTTTCTATGTAATGTACAATAACTACAATGTTCAGTTTAAAAAAAAACAAAAGAAATAAACTGAAAAAAACATGATTTTGAGTTAATAAAATGAAATGAATTAATAAACTAATTCTTTGATTAAGTCAAGGACATTTCAGTCACAAAACAACATTACTCTAAATATGCCCATCTGTTGCCTTTTATCTCTATTCTGACGTGTCATCTAAGTATGTTTATATATTGATTTTCACATCTGCAATGCTCGTAATCAAAATGTTGAGCTTATATTGACGAAATTTAATATGTAGAAAGTAACACGCACACACACATAACATATCGAGGTTGAAAGATGATCATTCTTTCTAGATATTTCTGTTTGCGTCATTTTTCCAATAGCAAAACTATAAAGTTAATATTTCTCACATAAATAATAAGAAATAAATAGTAGATATACAGTTGTTTATATGAATAAAAGAAATGTAAACACGACAGAATATTTTTCATAAATTATTTATAGAAATATTTTAAATAAAACATACGACTCATCGACATGTTGACCTTCTCAATTGTAAGAGGGTAGCAACAAAGTGTTCTTTTAAACAATACATAATCACATCTTACCACCCAGTTTGACAAACAAAAAACAAAGCTAAATATAACATCTACGAAGAATATATTTCAATATTTTGTTAGAATGATTATCGAAACCGATCGATCATATTTCACAAGATATCATATTCTGATTTTTCTTTCCTATGAAATAAAACTTGATAAACTTGAAAAAATTCCAAAAAAAGAAATGTTTTTTATCGAGATTTTTCTATTGCAGAGACGTAATTGAAAACTTCGGGAGGATGAAAATCTTTTTCTTTTTCGGAGCTCATGAAGAAAGTCCTTGAGCTGATAAATTGCTTTTGAGTCGAGACTTTATGTACTTAGCTTATTGCTGAGGAGACATTACACTTTTATGATGTTTTTTTTAATGAATGCCGTGGTTTCTTTCTCAGAAAAATGTATTTTTTTGAATTTTGACTGGAAACTTTGCATAGAGATAAAGTTTTTTCGTGTGAATGTTTTAGATTTTGTCTCTGTTCCTATTCTAAGATACCATTATGGTGATCACATGTCTCTTACATCGCTCATATAAATCGATGGATTTTATGTTCTTATTTCAGGATAGAAGCAAATAAAAAAAAGACGTGAAACTATTCTCGTTAAGGCTTGTTTCTATGTAAAATTTCAATTTAAAATTCGAAAATCAGTTTTTCTGATACGAAATACATCATTCATTTAAAACTACTATAAAAAACCGGTATTTACACAACAATAAGCAAAGGGCACGAACTCTGTTTAGAGTATTTTCAGTTCATTTAGATCTACACAATGTACGTAGTCTCGACTTAAAAACAATTTCTCAGTTGGACCACTTCCTTTATCAGACACGTTGTATGTAATACAATAATTACAAACTCCAGGAAGACAAATCTAATGTTCGGATGGAGTCCACTGCTTCGACTACCACGTGGAATAAATGATTGCAACGAGTTACAAGATATCCCTAACAATACTTTTGACAAAAAGCATATGAATAAACATTGAATATGTTTTTAATTTATAAAATGAAAATTGACAAATAACAGATGTCTGTTTGGTTTTTAATTAATTCTAATGCTGTATTTATCAATTATAATTTTTAAATTTATATTTTAATTTGAAATATAGAAACACTTGTTTATTGATTTAAAAAGAAAATTATATATACACACAGGAAAAAAAAATGATATATTCAATAGTTCCTAATAAGTCTTTCTTGATTATAATGATATGAATTAAGTTGAAGTTCCACCAGCTTTACCAGCTAGATCACCAGGACGAATTCCTGGTTGAGCTGAATCTTGATAACCAAGTAAATTTTGTCCTGGTGTTACATTTTGTGTTACTGACGATTCATGTAATTTAGCATCAGCTTCTTGTTGTTTTAATGTTTCTTTTGCTTTTTCAGCTTGATGTCCAATAGTACCATCTTCAGCAACAGGTACACCTTCTTGTTTCTCCAATTTTAATTGTGGTGCACTTGCCATATTTTGTTTTATGTATGAACGTAATACAAAAAGAAACAAAAAAAAAAGAGAAATGTTTTATTAACAATGAATAGAGTTGATTGAGTATAAAACTCTTTCTCCCTCTTTTTTTTCTTTTTCTTCTTTACATGATTGATGCTATGGTAACACACGAATATAACTCAATGACGTTTTTTGTTATTTGTTTTTTTTTTTTTTTTTATTCAGCAGAATCGAACCAACATAAATGTATGTGTAAAGGAAAAACAGAGAAAGAGATAGAGATAGAGCAAAGAAAAAAAAAAGAAGAAGAAAAAAGGATTATTCATCATATTTGTTGTTGTTGTTTTTTTGTAATAAATTAAACATCATAACCGACAATGAAACATGAAGAAGATACAAGAAAATGAACATATATATAGTTCTATTTTGTTTTTTATAATTATAAATGAACTGAGATTGTTTTGGGCTTTTCATTTCGTCATAAAGGCAAACAGATAGATACACAAAATTGTTAATTTTTTTTTGTTTTATCTACTTTAAACAATTATCAGACATTTAGTTTGAAGGATAAACAAGACAAGAGAAAGAGAGGGAGAGAGAGAGAGAGAGAGAGAGAGAAAGAAGGAAAAAGAAAATTCTAATCTATTACACAGTCTAACACATGCAGAAAAACAAAACACATTAAACCTGCCGTACAGGTATCACTGAGAAGACGAGCTAAAGCATTCAGAATTTGCCTATATGGAAGAAATTATTATTTCCTGATAGGTAGAACAAGGAGCACCAGTACACTTGAGAAAAATAAATGCAAGACATTAAACATACACACTCACTGTTAATAGAAAAAAATTGCAAATAAAGAATATATTAATTTTTAAGCCAGGGATGTTCAAGTATTGCCTCAAGTGATGGTCGTCTATCAGGATTTTGTGCAAGACATCGTTGAATTAAATTTTTTAATTCGGATGATAAATATGATTTTAATACTAATCTATGTCCAGTTATATCTTCTTCACTTTCAAATGGTAAATTACCGCATACCTAAAAAAATAAAATATATATATATATATATATTTTTTTTTTTCTTTTCTTTCTTTCAATAACTAACCATATCATAAAGTAATACACCGAGTGTCCATACAGTTGATGTTGCGCCTGTATAACGTTTTTTTAATATATATTCAGGTGATTTATATTGTTTAGTTCCATGAAAATCGGAATAATATGACACTGATGATTTAAATATAGCACTAGCACCAAAATCAATTAATACAAGTGAATCAGTATCAAGATCAATTAGAATATTTTCACTTTTAATATCACGATGAACAACGCCTTTTCTAAAATAAACAAAAAAAGAATAAAATATACTCTCGATTGAAGGTCTCTAATTATTTTTTTCACTAAAGCTAGTGAAGTATAAGTAATTGATCATGTTAATATCGAATATCAATAGGAGAACTCTTTCTACAAAAATCAGTTTTTCCTAACAATTGTAGAGCACGTTGACATGACTATAAAATACTATTTTCCTTCGTTTACTAATCATTACTGAGGTCACCAGACATATAATTCTTTCATTTCCGTTCTGATTTTTTACAGATAAAAAAACAGCACATTCTGTTCCACAAATCCATAGGGAAAAGAAAGGATTATGTTTTTATAGTCAAGTCAACGTGCTCTACAATCTAAACGGATCAAAAACAAAAAAAAAATTTTCTCGCTAGGAAAAACTAATTTTTACAGAAATAAGTGTCATATTAATGTTCGAAATCAACATGATCGATTACCGATAATCTACTAAATTTGGTGAAGAAAAAAAAAACCGATTAGATAGTTATGGATCTTCTGTTATAAGAAAATCTTGATTACAAGTATAGATATTAAAGTAATAACTATTTCCAATAATTATAGATTTTTCATGTACGCGAGAAAAATTTTATCGTAAAGAATAAGTCAAGTTTGAATCTTTTGTTCAAAATATTGTGATGGATAGAAAAAAAAAAAAATCTTCGATAAAGAAAAATGTTGTATGTTAATCGTGACAAGTGCTAGTCATAATCAATAGGCAGTATTTTTTTTGTTTTCTAGAGATTATTATATATTCAAGTTTGCAATGACATTTTGAACAAAGAGTTCAACTCAAATTATTCGTCTAGTCTTATTGTGAAAAAAATTTTCTTTGTTTTTGATCATGATCGTGACCATGATACAAATGACTATTCACGAGGGAAAACATATCGAAGTGTCGGACGCTATTCAACTTAATATAATTGACTATGAGTAAGTTTCTATGTAACTAAAAATAAAGTTATAAAAGATTCGAGTTCATGGCCTACTAATGAAATTTTTTTCTTGAAAGCAAAATATAGGCAAAA